CAGACTGGATGTTCTGTTTTAGTGTTTTTGCTACTTTTTGTGTGGGAAATGTTTGCTTTTTGGTGTTGATTCCCCTGATCGGTAATCTCTGCTCTATCTGCTCGTTGAGCTGTTGTTTGTCGGTTGCCATGGCAACGGGTCGTGTAATACCAACATACAGAGCGAGAAAAGGCGGAATAGAAGTTGTTGGAGCTATTTTTTATTTATTTCTTTATCCATTTGAATTTTGTTACTTTATTCTTAAATGTATATTTTTTTGTATTATTTACAGATTTTATTTGTAGGTTGATAATTGTTGATTTTATTTATTTTTTGTTTTATTATTTTTCTTATGCATTTTCTAAATATAGACAGGAAGTAATGTGGGTCAGTCCACTTTCTATAAGTGTAGGGGCCTGAAGGACCAGCAGGCATTTGGGTTTGGGGCTGATGGGTTTTACCAGAGCAAGAGAGGTAGCATGGGAACAAATGAAAGTATGATCTCTGTAATTGTTTGGTGAAAGAGGAAAACAAATCACCAAGAACAATCAATAAATTTGGACATTGAACCTTGTTTTGCCCGTGTCGAGAAACATGAACCCAGTGCCTCAATAGTGGCTTGGTGGAACTTATATTGGATGTTTGGCTTGGCAAACAATCAGAAGTGGTTCTGTCTAGTTTGGTTCTTCACCTGTTTATCAGCTTTATTGTACCTTTATTGTGGCGCACTGCAGCCGCTGCAATTCCTAAAAACAAGCAACAAAAACTGAGCTAATCCCTTGTGTTCGCAAAACGTGATATTTATAACAGTTGTCAAACTACGGCTCCTACAGCATATTTAAAATAAAACGATAGACCAATATAAATAGAAATTCGGGTTTTTTGTACAACATAATAAGCCCTACAGTCACCTTGTTACCTTTGACCTTTTGCCTGTGACGCATGACACAGTTGCGTCTCGCGCAGTGAGGTAAGGCGGCTAACTGCGGAGCTCAATGTAGCGAATGTTCCAGATTACAAAACAGTTTTTGGTGAATTTAAAAAAAAAACGTTTTTGGTGAATAAAGTGGAGTAGACTTGCTACTTGTCAGATGACAGAAAACGTTGAAGTATCGTTTCTGCTTCAGCACTGAGTAGCGGTTTTAAGCAGAGAGGTAATGAAATACAACAGACACTGACAGGCCTCTGCAGCTGCCTTTCTCTGAAGAACTACTTAACGGGAGGAGACAGCCAGGTGAGGAAAAACTGTTCTCATTTATCGATTTGGTATTTTTATCATACAGACATTAGGCTGTTGTTGTTGTGCTATTAGCTAGCTGCTAGCTAACGACTTTGCTAGCAAAGCAAGATAATTGAAAAGCTTCTTCCCCTGTGCCGTTAATGATAGCAGTCATTCTTCAGTATCGCTTATGCAATAGGGCCACATTGCCCGTTCAAAATCTATCATCTCCATATATGTCTTCTATATATCATATATGTCTTCTAATTTCCTTTGCTGCATAATNGTATGAGACTGACAGTGGTCCGTCCCGCCTCTTTCTTTTTGCTGCAGCGAAGTGTACTTGCCATTCATGCTTCACTGATAAACAAGCCTCCGGTCACTGGGTGGCATCAACAGGCTGCCTGTTCAAGCCAGAAGAAGAAGAAGCCTACACAGACACACTAGTGTAAACAGAGCTGAGGATCAAGCGTGGATCTTTTGAATATGTACCACCATAGAAGGGAGATGGAAAAGTTCATGACAGTGAAAAGAAAAACGACAGCAGGGTTTGGTAAAGCAAGTATGATGGCATTTTATGGCCAGACTAAAAGATTTTTTTTTCAAATACAGGAATAAAGCCATAATATTGCGAGAACAAAATTTCGTAATACTCTGATCATTCTCGCAATATTATGGTACACTCACTCACAAATTGCTCAGGCTCTTTCAATGCAAAGTGAACTGCATGATTCAAAGAGTGTACATGCACATTTTACATTTTTACAACTACTTAGCAGATTAGTTATACAGATATAGCATCTTTATAGAAAAAAGACACTACATTGCCAGAAGAAAGTTGTTAAAGTATGAGTAAAAAGTCATTTTAATAAGAAAAAAAAGTTTCGATAGAGTTACCTGTGATTTAAGTCTCAGCAAGTCTGCTTCTTTCTTTGAAATAAACAATTGTTTATTTATACAATCATTTCAGCAGATAATTTGATTCCAAGGTGTCAAAAGATTAGATTAGTATTTCCTTATTTCAAAAAACAATACCAACTACAACTTCACAAATGCTCAGTATTCCTTATTTTAGTGCAGTGTGGTGTAGAGTCATCATAAAATTACAACTGTATTCTTGCA